AGCGGGAGGAGAAGAACATTCTGCCCAGGAGCTCGGAGACAGAGAGACACGAGCTGAGGCAGCAGATCGGCTCCAAACTAGTCAGGTACACACACACACACACACACGTGTGAATATTACTCACAGATTTGCCAGAGCTGTGGGAGTTTTATGGTCGATTGAGTTTTTTTTTTCTCTGTGGAAAATAAATAATCCACAGTGAAAATCAGAGTTTTTTTTTCTTCTTTGTACCAGAGGGGCTGGTGGAACAGAGGGGGGGGGGAAGTGTCGACGTGTTTTCGCACTCATGTTACTGTGAAAATCCATGTTCTGTTCCTGCAGCTCTGGATGTTTGAATCACCATCTGCTCTCTCTGCTCTCAGAAGGAATGAAGGAAACAAAGACAAAAACAAAAAAAAAAAACAACGGCTCATGAAGTGGATTTTATTTTCTGTTAGAATGAATGATTGATACCAGCGTCAGTGTTTTATACGACACCGATTTTTCACACTTTCTATTAATAAAAACAAGATTTTCTTTTTTTTTTTCCTCTCCAGACGGCTGAGCCAGAGACCAACCACAGAGGAGCTGGAGCAGAGGAACATCCTCAAACGTAAGTTCATGAAAATGAAATATAAACGTACATACACAACATACGACGTATATGTTGGGCCAAAGTCTGAGGTCGCTGCAGTGCTGTTTCATTGACGTGAAGGAATGTTTGGAACCAGTGGCCCAGCTTTGATGCGTGAAGCAGACTTCCTCTGACAGTAACAAACTCTCTCTCTGCTGCTCCTCCGCCCACAGAGAAGAACGAGGCTGAGGAGCAGGAGGCCAAGCAGGAGCTCAAGAGGAGGCTCTCCAGAAAGGTACGGCTCACACCAACACACACACACACACCAGAGATTTGAGATGTTTAGTTTCACATCGTTGCTTAGATGCATTTACCCTTTTTACCATCTGGCCATCTAGAGGACGTGGGTGGAACTGCAGGATAAATAGTCTGTTTTTATATTTAATGTTTTTATATTGTTTGATGAGTAAGATAGATGTGTAAAAAAAACCACAATCAGATAATTAATATATTAATAATAAAATTGATCATCCCTGCTGTTTTTTTCTGTGTTTTTCTTCATGTAGCTTAAAATCGATCATCTCTGCTTTTTTTCTGTGTTTTTCTTCATGTAGCTGAGTGTCAGGCCAACCGTTGCCGAACTCATCGCTCGGCGGATCCTGCGTTTTAATGAGTACGTTGAAGTAACAGACGCCAAGGATTACGACCGACGGGCCGACAAACCGTGGACACGGCTGACGCCAGCTGACAAGGTAAGGCTGTGACCTGAGTCCACTGACTCCACTGCCATGTTTATGGACTTGAACACGATCGATCGGTTAAAGTCAGATGTTAAGATGAACAGAATGTAAACAGGAAGTCTACGTTTGTTTTAATCTCAGACAAATTCCCACAGGTAACAAAGCTGTTCTTATATTTGAGTTTGTTGTTAGTATTTGGTGTGAGAGTACACATTAAAGTTGTAGTACAGTCTAATCAGTGGAGTAGTTTTACTCCTGATTACCCTGAGCCTCAGGTTTTCTGATGTCATCAAACCCGGCACGCTTCATCCAAATGTGTGGTTCGGGGGCGTGTTGTTATAGTATCAGCTGATCAGCTCCCAGCCAGGATTATTTGCTGTATAAACTGGATGCTGTAATCCATGGAAGATAATCTGGGATTAGGAATAAATCTGTGTGTTCTGTGCTGCTGCACACACACACACACACACAGTCGGCATGTTTGGAAAATCTCCCCCAGGTCTTCAAGGAAACCTCTGCACGTCCTGGTGGAAAAAGAACTTTCTGAGTCAGGCCCGCCCTCTGCTGTCCATGTTTGGAACTGCAGATCACATGCGATTTTTACCTACGGCAGAGAAACAAAAGATTAGGAGGATAATTTAACTTTAGGATGTGCTACATGAACGGTCACCGTTCTGACCTTTGACCCCTTGTTTAAATATGCAATCTCTTTACACAAGGTCAACGTTTGAAAATAAGTTTTTATGAACAAACGGCTGTGTAGGAGATCAATATTTTACTGCATCAAAACAGCATTTGTTTTTCATCAATGAATGTGAAGTATTTTATTCTTCTTTGTTTTTCATCAAATGTCATTTTTAATCAATGAATGTGAAGTATTTTATTCTTAATTTTTCAGTCTAAAAAAGGTTGAATAGGACAGATGTTTGCTGGATTTAATGCTTTGTCTGTGTGTGTGTCTGTGTGTGTGTTTGTGTCTGTGTGTGTGTTTCCCCTCCTTCAGGCAGCGATCCGTAAAGAACTGAATGAGTTCAAGAGCAGGGAGATGGAGGTCCATGAAGACAGCAAACAGTTCACCAGGTACACAGTGTTCCGTCCTCCACAGCACTCACACAGGCCTCTGACATCACTTCCTCTCCGTGAGTCGTTTGTTTGTCTGTGTAGAAGCTGCAGCGTTCCAGCTCTCACTGATCAATATTCCTGATATCTCACTCCCTGGAATCGGTCCTGGTGCACATGTTAGTTCAGGTGCAGTGATTGGACCGCTGATGGAGTTCACTTTGACTGTTGTCTTCCACCACAGCAGTGTTGAGCCAGAGTTGGTTTGTTTTTTTTCAAGCCGTTCTTTGTTGTTTGGAGGAAATGTATTTTCCTTCATTTGAGAGAAGAAATTCAAATGTAGTTTGTATCCCGGTCCCTGAGAACTGTCAGGAGGTGAGGCCGCCTCCCTGTGCCTGACCAAAGAAGACTCCTTGTTGGTCCTATTTGTGGTCTGCGACCCAGATTTTTCTTTTTTCTTTTTTAAACGGCTGTACATGCTGCAAGGTTAATGTTGAAAAACGAAAATAAAAATCAATTAAGAATGAAGAGTTCATGAAAACGACTGAAACATCACAGAAAACCACACACGTCATCAGCTCTGCTCATCTTCTCGTCCTGTGTGTTTCCAGATTCCATCGGCCCTGAACTCGCTGCGGTCCAGACGTCGGCTACTCGCTCTCCTGGCTGGACCACCCTGACCTCCTGACCTCCTGACCTCCTGACCCAGATCACGCCAAGCCTGATGTATTTATGTATATAGTGACAATTAAAGGTGTGTCTGAAAGACGCTGGCCGTCCACAGGCTCTGGTCTCACACACACACACACACACACAGTGGTTTTTCCACACAAATCCAAGTGTCGGCTGGTAGTGGAGAACGTGCTTCATGAATGTCTATCATTGAGGTGGTTGTTGTTGTTGTTGTTGTTTTTGTTGTTGTTGTTGTACATGCCATTCTGTATGCCTCCTGATAAACTGCCAAATGACCATATAAGGACGTGCTTCTCTGTGAAGGAAAAGGCTGTGATTGGCTGTTGATGTGTCAGTGTCAAAGGTCAGAGGAGAGTTATGGCTGTTGGTTCTTCTTTCATGTGCCTCTGCAATCTTTAACATAGTCTTACCGACCCACCGACTGACTGTAGAGAAGTGGACGTGGCCAGCAGGGGGCTCTGCTGGCTCTCTGTGCTAACTGCTATTCAATGGAAGTTGATGGGATTTTGGAAAAATGTCAACATTTTCCTGAAAGGTTCAGGCTGTAGTCCAGTAGTTGGAGGGTTGTGGGTTCCATTCCAGGAGTCCAGACAGTAGGTTTTACCCCAGCCCCGGGTCGATGTAGTGTGAAGTGCTCTGAGCCGTCATGGACGGACGGACCTCACAGTTCAATCAAAGAGCTGAGGACGTTCCTTTTTTTTTTTTTGTAGAATTTGATTGACATGATTGACAGATGTCCTTCAACCACAAACACACACACACACACACATCATCGCTGATATACAATCAGTCTGCGTTAGCGTGAAGGCCACGTCACCAACGTGATGTACAGAGAAAAACGACCAACAGTATTCACACGTGTCTTTGTTGTTATATAAATATATACATAAATATATATATAAATATATATATATATGTGGAGAGATGATTTTGTACAGGATGTATATGGAGCATGTTCATACATTTAAATGAAGACGTGTCGAGCAGTAGAAGGCCGTGAACCCTGGATGTGTTTGTGTTGACCTTTGACCTTATTACAACCCTTTATATTTCATCATCCTGGTCCCTGATCTCAAACCTTCCTGTGACAAAAGGACACAGGAAGTGATGAGGCGGACTTGTCCTCCTCCTCGTCAGCAGGTGCAGCGCGGCAGCTTCACGGACAGTCGCTGTGTCGTCACAGTGATGGTAGTTTTGTTGTCATGGTGATTTTTTTTTGTTTGTTTTTTTTTTAAAGTCGTGACAGGTCATTAACAGGACTCAGGGACTGAAGCTCAACACCATCACTGGTGACGGTACCAGGTGAAACCAGGGGTCAGCTGCTTGTTGTCAACTCCAGCTGTTTGTCAGGTTTCACCCGTCTGTCAACACTGTTACTACGGGACGTGTTAATGAAACTCGAGGGGAAAAAAAACAAAATGTGTTACCACGTGACGTGTTCATGAAACTCGAGGGGAAAAAAAACAAAAACAATAGCTCAGATGCAAATATATTTCTTCATATTTAGTACGTAAAAATGTTAGGAATAAAACGGAATTATCTCTGAAGAAATCCTGAATTAAATACTGAGATACTTCATGAATATGTCATTAAAGTCAAAGTAATTATTTGTGTCACACAGATATTAAAAGGTGTTAACGATCAGTGTTAATCCAGTTAATCCAGCTGCGGTGTTTGTTTTCAAACTGGTCCAATCAGAGCTGACCTGGATTATTCAAACCTCAGTCAGGATTTTTATAATATAAAACAAACATTTCCATTGGTGAAATATACAAAACAGCGCCTCCATAAAAACGTTTGATTTTTTTGATTTTTTTTTATTTATCTTACACATCTACATGAAGCAAATCTTTAAAAGCATCGTTGTGGTCGGACTGGGTCTTCTACAGACCCCACGTCTGTGTTCATTGGTCTTTGAACTGCTCACATGATGATGTCATACTGTACTGTATATCCCACAATCCTTTACTGCTACATGTGAGCTGTCCAGCTGTGTATATTGTTTTTGTACATAAAGGACCATGAGACACAGATGTTTGGATGTCTGGACTTTTTTCTTTTCTGTTCAATTAAGTTAAATGTAAATGTATGGATGTAACGATGCACTCATGATTTATCATGATTTTCTGTTTATATACATATACTGTATATATAAATATATATATACATGTTCCCTTTTCTTCTCTCTTCCAGTGTTTGATTGATAGCTGCGGTTGGTTAACATTTTCTTTTCACAGTTTTTCAAAGAGACGTTCATTCAAAGGAGATAAAAGAATACATTTATGATGTTGAAGGCCTTTATTCACACAGTTCATTTCCTGAATGGTGATCATTAAAATAAAAGGTCACTGACGTCAGACATGAGATAAAAATAAATTTAAAAAAATCTGCTTTTTGAAGTGTGGGTTTTAAAAACTACCAGAGTGACCACACCTTCACAGGGTCTGGACAATGTAGAGTGACCTCAACCAATGATTTTCCCAGTGGGGACCGCCAGGTGGCGCTGCGGGGCCTTAGAAAATTGGGAGGAAGATTTAAAAAAAAAAAAAAAGATTATTTATTTACTTGTTTCATAACCTTTTGTCCTGAACCGAACAACACCTAAACTGCCGTAATCGTTGGATTCTCACGTTTACGACGGTACCTGAACGCACCTCGTGTGACAGCTGTGTTTACCTGACGGTTTATTATTTCAGTAGGAATCCTCTGTGCTGAAAACATCTTGGCTAATAATTTTCTAATGATGAACAAAAGTAATAATTATTGAATAGTGAATAAAAATAAGAAAATATTTTAGTTTTATATTGTTGTCTGTGGGTTTATAAGGGGGGGGGTCCATGGATGTTTTGGGACCCTGTCTCTTCATGTCAGGGACCGTTTGTTTGTTTGTTTGTTGTTGTGCCTCACCCTCTGGTTCCTGTGGGTGCAGCAGCGTTACAGTATCATTACAGAGAGGCTTTTAATGGAGTTGGTTCTGAAGCCGAGGACAAATGTTCCGCAGTCAATGAGTGAGAGTTCTGTTCTGGCCCGAGGTCGGTCGGAGGAGACTGACCTTGTTGACAGGATGGAGCAAATGGAAGATTTTCTCTTATTTCTTTTGTTGTTTGTTTTTTTCACTCTGATGTCAGGTGGTCTCAGTGGGAACACGGTAGTAATTGGTTTTTACAGAGAGGGGGCAGTGGAGAGCGCAGCCTTCAGGTTGGATGTGAAGGCTGCGGCTGAGAGAGTCCTGAAGCTGATGAGTATTTAGAGAGAAATGTGAACATAATCATCAACTCTTCTGCTTCGCAGCCACTTTCTAAACATTCTATATCTAGATGAGGNGTGAAAGGTAGCAGAAAATGGAAGCGGTTGTGATGAGAGAAGAGAGCAAATAAAGAGGGAAATGGACCTGAAGAGTCAGAGACATAAAAACCTGTGGGTGGCGCCGGAGGGCAGAGATAATTGGATGGTGGGAGCGGTTTTATTTGCCCGGGGTAAATGTTCTTTACTGGCTTTCATTCACCATTTGGCTGAGCTCCTGTGTAATCAGAGGAGAGAGTGAACCTTCGACACAGAGCTGTGTCTCTCATTTAAATCAGTGCTGTCTCTCATTTCCACCAGGGGGGGCACATCAGCAGGACAGTTGTCAGTGAAGGGGCGGTTGTCAATGGAATAATCTGGAATAAGTTTCTAGACCGAAAGACTGGGAATCAATGAGTGACCTCCTGATTGTAAGGCAAGGTCATTAACCTCTCCTCCACCGTGTGTGTGTGTTTCATTAGCGTTAACGAAGCAGAGATCAACAGGATTCTGTTTATTTAACAAACCAATAAATTACAGCAACATTTTCCTCCTGGTCGTCATGACAACAGCTTCTCGTTGGCTCTTCATCTTCACCTTCCAACATCACGGGTCAGAATCTGACCGCGAAACTCTCAGCTGACCCACGTCCTTCACTAAAGCGTCCAGAACCTGCCTGGTTCTGGTTCTCTTCTCCATGCGGACGTGGACCTCCGTCATCAGCCACGGCAGGAAGTGGTCCTCGATCTCCTTCTCCACAGGGTCCTTGGGTCGCTGTGAGATGAAGATGGCAGGAAAGAGCTCGGCCAGGTGTTCTTTGGTGTAGGCCCTGACGGCGTTACTCTGCATCAACTCCAGTTCTTTCCTCAGCGCCTCCTGCTGTTGGGCGATTCTTCGCTCCTTCTCCTTCCTGTGGCGTCTCTCCTGCTCCTTCAGCCTCTGGACCTCGGCCATCTCCGTGTTCCTCAGTTCCTGGAAGGCCCTCTGCTGGGCGCTCAGACGGGCCAGCTCCTCCTCCTCCCGCACCTCCAGCACCGACTGCTCTATGATCTTGTCCACCATGATCTCCACCAGGGGGGGCACCTCCTTGTCAAAGTCAAACAGGTCTCCCTCCATGATCTGCGTGGCGATGTCTCTTCCTGTTTTCGGAGGCTTGAAGGTTTCTTTGACTTCCTCCACCGTCGTCACCGTGACCATGATGGGAACGCCGTATTCTCCCAGGTTGAGGTCTGTTTGTGCGTCGCTGTGTTTCGGTTGCTTCGGCGGCTGAGGCGTCCTGTGTCCGGTCTCCACGCTGGCGTCCTTGTGGAGAACAGGCGTCCTGAACTGTTGTCGGAGGTTCTCGTCGGCATACTGCGGGGCCGTGGACGAAACGTCGTAACCCGAGACATTGGCTCTGACCACGCGACGGTCGTAAATGATGCCGTCGGTGAGGGAGCAGGTCTGATCGGGGGAAGGTCTGAAGAGGTTCTCCACAGATGGGGTCTGAGCCGGGAACGAGTGGACCCTGCTGGGAACTTTTCTGTGTGGAAAATTAAAAGCCATGATGGACGTGTCCTTGGGAAGTAACAAAACCGGTCTGTGTGTGTGCGACGCTAAAGTTCGATAAAAACCAGTCTCGATACTGGGTTTGATGGTAGCTGTCATACAAGAAGCATGACCTCCTCAACTTCTCTCCTTCCTCATTGGTCAGAATACCAACTGATGATGTTAAGCCTTTGAAGGCTTTGAAGTCCCTGACTGTGAAGTTACGAATCATACCTGGACACGTGGTTCTTAGACAAATCACAAAAAAGGTTCGAGAACCGATAACGTCAATACGGTTTTATTTGGTGCCATCTGGTGGCCAAGACTATGAAAAGCATGCTTGAAATGACCAGTTAATTATTGTTCAGTCATTTGTGTTGAGTTCACGGCTTCTAACCAAAATCACGTGACCATTCTGTCTGACATGTTTGTGTTGTTTTTTTAGTTAGGATTAGCATGAGGCTAAGAGTAATAGCATGGATGAAGATTAGACATATATTTATACATATATACAGCATTTCTCTTCTATTGTCTTCTGTGAGAGTCTAGGGAATGGAATATGTTTATGTGACGTGCTGACCAAACACACACACACACACGTCTGTGTGTGTGTGTGTGTGTCCATGCACAACACAGGTCCTGGTTTTACCCTCCCTGTTGTCTCCGTGGCTCTGACGGTGAGGACAGATGGCAGGGACTCGCTCGACTCACACTCACACACACACACACACACACACTGAACACACAACACGAGAACTTCCTCGTCTCCCACTGGCTCCTCTTCCAGTCCAGAAATGACTCAGTGCTTCCTCTCCAACGGAGCATCTGGTCTGGTCCGAGTGGTGTCTGAATCCTGGCCAACTTCACAGTGTTTTCAATAAATTCACCTGAAGTCGTGGGGACACGGAGACAATGGAGACGACGTAGACCACGGAGACCACGTAGACCTGCTGCTGCTTCTCACAGCCAAACTCACTGACTCTGTTCCTTTGTTGGTACAACAAGAACACATATGTTCTTGACTGATGAAGATGAAAAAGTCACATTACAACGAAGACAGGGTTATGTGATGGAAACTCAATTTCATATAAATTACATGTAAATATATTGCATTCAAAACGATTTCACGTAGAATTTTAAATGGGAACAAAAACAAGACCAATAATAAAAGTAAATTGTTATTATTATTTATAATACAAACATTGTTATTACCATTTATATATTTTTTAAATTCTGGTCAAATATTAAAAAATATTTCCTATAATATTTTATGTTTTTTTAAGTATATATTTTAATATGAGTCCAGATCGGCCTGTGAGCCTCAATCTTTGTCATATTTAACGAGCTTTTTAATACAGAATTAATCAATATATACAATTGAAAAGCTAGTTTGATAACCATCCAATAAATATAAAACACATATGTTGGTTGTTGCAGTTGTTATGGATTGTAGGTGATATGAAAATATAATTTTATAAATATAAAGTTTAATTGTTGAGGGGCGGGGGGGGCAGCTACACAGGAGGCCCTGGGTTTGTACTTCTGTCCTCCGACAGGGGAGAGATGGTTGGTGATGATGTGATGGAGGAGAGGGTGGGTGAGGCAGGCACAGGTCTGCTTGTTGAGTGCTGTGTAGGTGAAGAGGAGAGCGCCGAAGTGGAGCAGATGTTGACGTTGGTCTCAGTTGACTTTGAGAATATGATGTAACAGTACTACTGGGTACAAACATGCACTCACTGTGTGTGTGTGTGTGTG